ACCAGCATACATGTCCTCCGCAACCTTACGGCCGCAAACACAAGATCCGAAACAACATGTTGTTCCAAAAAAAAAAAACTATTTAGGGGCTCTTACCATGACCGCCTCCAGTATTGCAGTGGTGTACAGCGCGTCGCTACTTGAGGCACGATGTAAATTTCCTTCGCCCTCTCCGCTCCTGGCCTTATAATACCTACTTGAGCATCATTCACACACCAAAATCGCTCAGCGCGTTCTGTATGGTCTCCCCTTTTCTCTCGAAGATAGAAAGAAGATATGAGTCATCACTTTGCACTTGGTGAAAGCCTCTAGTGCAATCTAGGGTTAACAAAGTGACCCTGTACAAGATCATGCTGTCTTGTTCTGCTCGGTTGACATGAGAACGGGGTTTGCGTCTACATTCCGGGGACGCCCAGAAACCATGTTCATGTTCTACAAGTGCGACCATGACGGATGCCAATGGCAAACACAACTCTCTGGGCCAGCGAGCTGCCGGAGGGATGTATATAAACTTCATGCCTTAGTCGTAGTCTCCTTCTAGATCTACACATCCTCATTTTCTAATTCCAAAAATCGATGTGGTCGATTTCATGGCCACCGTCTCTCCTGGCGTTTTCTAAAAACCGTCACCAACTCCGACACGTCTTCGTTACCTTTGCTCAATCAAAACAGACAACAGATAAGCATATGGAAGTTTCGAGCCCTCCAAAAGAAAAGCAGCGGTAGACACTTTATGAAAGGCTCGAATCTGTTGCAGAGTGGCAGAATCCTCTACACATAACGAAATGCTTGCTTCCAAAACTCAAAAGGTGGTTTAGAATACGCTCTAAGTGCATGCTTCGAGACTCGAGAAAGAGCAGCTGGAAGCTTCCATGACTTACGCTTTCTTGCAGTGGTTGGTGTAGTTATATAGAGTCTTCTCCAGCTCATACCTCTGTACTGTATCTTTGCATACCTTGTTCTCGACATCAAAAACTCCGCCAAGTATGTTCCATGGCCGCCGTCCTCGAGACCAAAACAGAGAGCACATTACACTATGATCTGCTGCAGCTGATCTTTCCAAACCCAATCCTGTTCTTGCGATGAGTTCAGGAAAGCATTGAGAGAATGCGTCACGGAATTGTACGACCATACCCAAATAGTGCTACAGTCAAAATCTTTGAAGCCAGTGCCCACGCGTGTATTTAATCGTTTTGGAGCATAAAGAACATTTGAGAAGAAGGGCGACGCGAGCCCGCAATCATCGGTCGAAATTAGATTCATCTGAACTACCCCAAAAGACACATCCTTCGTTTCATGATCTTGTTGTCATTACCGCTACATCATTACGTCTCTCTTAACCCTGCATCTCAATACCACCAGATCCGTGAAGTACCTCACCAGTGCAGTACGATCCCAGTGGTGAGGCTAGATGCACATAGCATGTAGCCATCTCAACTGGCATACCTGGCCTGTTCAGCGGGCAAGCACCAACACCAAGCGAATCCATAGCATCCGCCGGATTGTTCTTAGTAGCCGGCTGCAATGGAGTCCAGATGATACCTGGCGCAACAGCGTTCACGCGGATTCCGTTTGGCGCTTGCTGCTGCGCAAGACCACGGGTGAAAGTAGCGATGGCTCCCTTGGTGGACGCGTAGTCGAGAAGCATGGGGTTAGACATGTAGGCCGCGACGGAAGTGCTGTTTACGATGCAGTCGCCGCGCTTCATGTGCTTAAGTGCGTATTTGGACATGGCGAACATGGAGACGACGTTTGTCTGGAAAGTCTTCTCTGTTACGTCGAGGTCGATCTCTGTTATGTCTGTGCAGGCTTCTTGCATTGCAGCTGTTATACTGTTAGTATCATTCTCCAAACATGAACAAAGTAATGGGATCTTACCGTTGTTGACGAGGACGTTGAGCTTGCCGAACACCTTCATATGTTGCTCAACAGCCTGTTCGCAGTTCTTCCGCTCCCTCAAGTTGAATTGCATGAGGTTCGCCTTGCGACCAGCCTCCTCGACCTTCTTCTTGACATACTGTGCGTCCTCCTCTTCCTCGGGCAGATACACGATACTAACATCGGCGCCTTCTCTCGCGAATAGAATGGCTACTGCTCTTCCGATACCTGAGTCTCCGCCTGTGATCAATGCAGCCTTGCCCTGCATCAAGCCTCGGCCCTCATACTCCTTGAGGTACGGCTTCTGGTTCTCGTCCCAAAACTCAAGACGCGACCATTCTGCCTTTTGTTCAGTCTTCGCGTCAAGACCTGGGCCACCTTCTTGGTTCTGGGGTGTGATCTCTGTGGACGGGTAGGCGGTAACGGGAGCCTTGTTGTCACTCATCTTGAAGGTTGTGTGAGTGGAGGTACGTGTAATAGATTTGATTGAAAGAGGAGAAGTGATTGGTTTCCTGAAAATGAGGTTTGAAGATCTGGTGATTGTTCTGAACATTTCTGCCGATCGCAGAGGGTAATTGTAGGGGCGGGTTCTGGTGGGGTTAGGATTTGATAAGATCGTCATCGAACGTCATCGTTGAATGTACAACACCACGTCACGAAGAAGAGTCTAGACTTGTGCTCTGGAGGGCGTATATTAACCGGTGCATAGAAGTACGATGGCGATGGCATGTCGTATGTGTGCGATACTCTTGTTGATTGATGGAAAGTTGCGCTCACTGCGCCCAAGGAGTTGTACCGCTCCATGGATGTACATGTGCGCGCACATCATCCCGCTTCGAACTGCAGTCGCGCGCTGGAACAGTAAGCGAGAATTGAGAGGAAGTCCAATGAAGTGAGCCAAGTTCGAGCGATGACCGCGCGATGCCTAAGAGCGTGGAATTGATGAAGTCGGAAACAGCAAAGAATGGCCCCACTTGTCACTCGGAGGAGGCGTCGCGTCGCGTCGCGTCGACAAATCCCTATGAGCCAAACGCCCTTGACGTCTTTAACGATGTTCCAAAGCTCTTTGACATAGACCTCCCACGACCAGGTCGCGCGTTGTTTTGCTGTCTCGTCGGCGACAATCTTGATGCCCACATTGGGATTCTGCTGTAGTAACACTGGACGGTCGTCGCATGCTGTTCTTTTAGCTCCAGTCTGGATTGCAGCTACGGACATACTACCAATGAATCTCTGGGGCGAGCATCTCTCACTGCTGTGTCATGTCCCAGTTTGATCAACCCGCTTTATATCCAGCCGTCGGCCGAAGAGGTGCGTGGCAGCGTTCTTTGAAAGACGTCCCGAGAGGGATAAAAAGAGAGCAAGCTTCCGAGTATGTGTGGCTTACTATGTGGAGTACGTGGTGCTCCTGGCGACTTTCGCAGTGGATCTTGACCCCAGTCTTCAAGCGTTATCAGGCCTGGGCACTTCGTCATCTTACATCCTTGATCGATTGGAAACCCAGTCTCTCGAAGGCGGAGACTCCGTTGCTCGACAACAAGCCGCCTATGACAACGATACTACAAGAAAATCAAGATCCTTTCATGCAGCTGGGCTTTGGCAGAACTTGGATTGATCCGTTCTAACGTTTACCTGTTATTTACCTTCACAGCGATCACTCCGCTATTGTAGTTCATAGCGGGCCGAATCGCTCCGCCATTCCTGGCGATTACCCCACGCGGCTGTAGTAGTCCTGATACCTGACTACATCCCGTCTTACCCCCTTTTCGACACTGTATGGCACACATTCTCCCTCTAAAAACATAAATTTTGCGCTGAAGTGCAGAAAGACAACAGATACGAATTCTTTCCACAGCCAACTCGCAAGCGACTTGTCGATTTTGTCTTATCGCCATGGACAATTTAACAATAAACGATTTGCTGAAAAGAAACTCGTCATCTTTAACGTATCGTTGCTACAAAAAAGACATCAACCACATCGCTGGCTGGCTCGCGTGGACGTCGAAACGATGCGGATACCTCAGAACTGATACCGAGTCGAGAGCACAACGGGATGCGGCCTTAAAGTCAGGGGACCAACGAGCATACCCTATATGTATTGCTGAGTGTGTGAAAATGGCTCGATGTACTGCTTCGTTGAATCCAAAGCTTGAAGTGCCAGTGGCGCTCTCGCAACGTCGCAACGCGAGTCACTGACTTTGCTCGGACAACTTCGCCTGTGGTTACTAGCAGGTGAGAACGATGCGTACTTTGACTGATTCGCCATACTATCCACCTGTACGAACGTCTGGAATAACATAACGACATCTCTGGAGGTAGTCCCATCCTCGAAGGTAATCAGGACGACCTAGACTCACCGACAGCATAGTAGTCCGTCTGCCCGAAGCGGCGTCAGCGAGCGAACGTATGATAGCGCGCTTGCCTATTTTCGAGGTAGCTTGGCAGGCGATGCAGCACACTATCTAAAGGCGAGTATCATTTCAGAGGGGCAGCAGGATGTGGGCCGGTGGTTTGGGATTGGCTAAGGTTTTACACTTGTGGTCCTGCATTGATACTCATGAACCTCAATATCTACCCAAAGCGAGGGGAGAAGGAAAAGAAAGCATCCCGAGTGGGTAGAGCGGTCTGGCAGGCGATGTAAGCATTTGCGACAATAACAAAGACGGCTCAGAACAGCGAGGATGGCGTAGATGAAATGAAAGACAGTGGAAAGTTAGGCCACGAAACGATCACAGGTGGAGCCGAAGCCAGTGGGGACTCGGATGGTGAAGATGATAAAGACGCTGATATTGAAGCAACACCGGATGATGGTAGTAGTTTCGGTGTTCAACAGGTTTCGGCGATGCTCGATACGCCTGCTCACCAGCGCGCTGGTCGCAACAAAAACATTGTCATTGTGGGTAGCCAGTTGCCAAAGCTGACGTATTCCTTTACCCGACGGAGGGTCCAGGACGACTGGTAGAGCGCCTTCACCTGCACCTGCGCCTGCGCCTCGCAGATCTTGTCGCGTAGAGTTACCACCTGCGCGCAAGAAGAAACATGTCTGCGCAATAGCTACGAAAGAAGACGCACCTGAACTATGTGTATGGAACCTGGGTCGGTACAATGTGAGTGTGAGACTGATACTGAACATGAATACCAAAGCAGTAAAAGAGGAGCGCCAATGCTTGGAAGCATTATTCGAAAATATCGACTTCCCAGATCATGACATCAACGACGCTGTCGAGGTAAGACGATTCACGATTGGAGATTTCAAAACGGAAAACTGAAGAAATGAGCACAGATTTGCTGAGAAGATGCTGAGGTGGTGTAGCTTCTCACTGTATGTACTCGACCACAATCTTAGTACGTATGTATTTGCTCACGACGCAATCAACGGTGTCGGAGCAATCGCCGTTGCAGCAACGGCATGACGACACTTTGAACGTACCGACTGCTGACAAGTGCTTCCTGGAAGTTCATCGAACTCGGGCCTCTCATCTTCGGTATTTCTTGCACTTCCAGGAGCTTTTTACTAAACTCTGCCGCGGACTGCAAGTCGGAGCGGTAGTGACGTCGTCGCATACCACAGAGTGCACCTTGAAAAGCTGCAGGAAACGTCGATCAAAGCCAGTGCGGTCGTAATATTGACGCTCACGATGGGATTTTCGTGGTAGCAGGGCAGAAAATCAATACTTGGGTGCATTTCTCGCCTGCAGAGCCATGCCGGACGACGATCCTGCAGTCATTGTCGCAAAAGGCCCATGGGATCACTCAAAAAAAGAAATCATTATGCAGGCTGTCGAGAGCGGGGTGTCTCTGGATGAACAAGGAACATCTCGACGAACTTGCTTTTGATGTTCTATGGAACAATCGTGCGACTATTGGCCAACAGCAAGGCAGCAAATTGCAAATGGAGAGCGCCACCAAATGATGCTGGGAAAACACCCGAAACTTCTAGGTGTAAACCAAGAAATTCTACGTTTGCCAGCATGTTTTCGCTTATTCAAACCAAAGAAAATGATGGCAACCAAAGCTGTTGCAGTACAGATATGGTGGTAGAGGTGTCGGCACAACGGAGCGCTGGCCATTCGCGACATTACTGATCATTTTGCTATTTCGCTTTGACAAGTCCTACAAGTAAGTAACTTTTGCCGACACCGCAACTATCCCGTACCGAGCGCTACTACGGCATCGTACACTTTGCGGGAAACGCTCGCATGCATCCGCATCGTCCGGATCACACGGGTGCACAACTCAAGGAGGAAGGTCAAGCCTGCTCGTGGCGACCTGTCGATCCCTGAGCGGAGTGCCAGCATCTGGACCACAGAGGAGGAAAAATACCAAGGCTTTTCGGCAGTGCTCATGCGTGTACCTCGTATTACCAGGAAGGCCGAAAAGCGTGCTATGGCTACAATCTCAAATGTGTGTTCGGAGGGAGTTCGTCAGGGTGCATTCTTTGAAACATAGCACGACTTTCTCTCGAAACACCCGTACGTTTTCGTCGCAGAAGTGAACCACAGTTTGTGCATGCGCCCGGCATGTGTTGGGAGGCGATGGGCCTTGTCGATAGGCTGTTTATCGATAGCCCTCTGGTGGCTGAAACAGCGGCGCTGTGCGGCAGCGGAAGCCCCGTATTCACCCCTGCTTCCACGACTCACAGCCGAACGGCGATCCGACCACGAGAAAAACAGCCCAAGTCATTTCAAACGCAAATTCACATGACATCACAGCGATTTGATTCGTCGTTTTGGTTGATTTGGGTGATCTCGGTATTCTCCGAGATCCACCGAAATTCTTTGAGGCTTCTGTGTCCGGGCTTCGGTATACGAGAGTGCGTATGCCAACTCCACTCGGGGATGAGCATAGCACAGCAGGCTGAGACACCGACAGCGACGTGACAATATTAGCACGATGCAAAGAGAAGGGGTACGCTTCGTCATCTTTACAGCTGACATACGCGCTCAGATGACAACCCACGGTAGCGAGTGTGTTCTCCAACACGCCAGGCGAACCCAGTCGTCGTAACGAACAGACTAGTCCTCTCGTACCTACATTAGCGTCAGGCACACTCTCCACTAGCTGAGCGCCGGCGCAGCTCTATGGTCAGCACGACGCACGTCAAAGACATCAGAAGCGACCGTGCAAACCCCTCACGGCCGCCGGGAAAGGCGGGGCGAAAAGTAAGCGCCTCTGAAATGGTGTTCTGGACGTTGGCTGCATCTTGGCTGAGTCTTGCTGCAAGTGTTCATAAGGACTGCTCGCCCTGGCTCAACATGTCCTCCACGCTCTCAACAAGCAAGTCACACTCTCTTCAGTCATTCATTGACCAGTCATTCTTTCTATAGCCCGGTGCTATCAACGAGTCACTCACTTTCTTCACATTCTTTAAACATATAACCACCCAAAAACTCTTGCAAGGAAACCTCATTCTATAACCAACCAACATACCAACCATGTCTATGTCCAAGATTGTTCAGACCGGCGCTCTTGTAGCTGCCCTCATCTCTGCCGTGGCCGGCCACACCTCCGTCGAGAAGTTCGAGGCTGGAGGAAAGACTTACGAAGGTTTCCGTCAGGCCTCCAAGCAGGATCCTGGTAATAAGTCCCCTGCTTGGTGGACCAACCAGGGCTGGGGATACCAGCCCATCTACGGCAGCGAGCTGAACCAGTATGTCCACCACAGTAAATTCTTCTTTCCATGTACTGACTGAATTTAGGCCCGATATCATTGCCCACAAGGATGCCTCTCCTTCCCCGTACACCGTCGAAGCCCCCGCTGGCGAGCCCGTAAAGTTCACATGGCACCACGAGGGTACCTGCGGCGCCGGTGAGGAGGGCTGGGACTGCTCCCACCACGGCTGGACAGCCACCTACATGGCTCCTTGCAATGGCGACTGCAAGAACGTCGACAAGACCGAGCTTGAGTTCTTCAAGATCCACCAGAGCGCGCTCATCGACTACCGCAAGGGCCGCTACTCTTCCGGCGGCGACCCGCAAGGTGAGGTCGGCTACTGGGGCACCGACGCCATCTTCTACGACAACGGCAACACCCAGAGCGTCACTATCCCCAAGGAGATCCCCAGCGGCAACTACGTCCTCAGGACTGAGGTCGTTTCCATCCACAACAACGGCCCTGTCAGCAACCGCCAGTTCTGGCCTCAGGCCTTCAACATCAAGGTCACCGGCGGTGACGACAGCCAGAAGGTGCCCGCTGGAAAGAAGGGTACCGAGCTGTACCACTCCAGCGACGAGCTCCTCCAGTGGGACCTCTACTGGCACAAGGCTGGTGAGACCATCCAGGATGCGCCAGGCCCCAAGCTCGCCTCTGTCGCTTCCGTCAACAAGCGTGCCCACGCCCGTGACTTCACTGCCTCTGCTTAGGCACCCCTTTTTACTCTTTCTTCTTCTTTCTCCATCTGCTTAGGGATGGCTGGTCGCATGCTACAGGAACTTAGCTGCGCGGTTTACAAACGGTGTACATGGGCATAGGTTGGGGTTTAGAGGCTATCGGGACTGGGACTTGGGCTTTCTTCTTCTACAACATCGATTTTCGGTGGATTGGGTCTTTCGGACACGACGCTTGTGCTACGACCATTTACGATTCACTTCTTGGATACCTTTAGGCATTGTGACAAATGTATGTTTTGAGCAATGCGCTCACCCTACAATTGTTCTCATGTTTGCAATTTCGTGATGTGCATTTGTACCTGGCGGTCTTGAACGAGCTATACGCTGTCTATGCTCTTTTATCAAACGCTACTCAAATCCAACCCCATCACCACGCGCAATCAGTATCCAGACGAGGCAGAACCTGTTTTACAAGATGTACACTCGAGCTAGACTATAGTAGTATTCGCTCGGTATCTTCACGCCTCCTCTGTCAACGACCCAGCCGACGCTCATAGTCCATGTATGCAGCCGCACCATCAATATCCACCATATGTCTTCATACGAGATGTTCTTTTCGGGATTAATGATATCACACCTCTCCATCTCTTCCACAAATATGGGTACGTTCTCGGCGTAGATGTAAGCGCGCTCTTTGAAGATCGGATCTAGACTGGCCGGAAGCAACTCATCTCGCCGTACTACATTGTTCTTGATATTCTTTTCGGCCTGTTCGGCGCTTCGCGAATTGATGGAGATGTGAAAACGTATCAATAGTCTGTATATCCATGCCCGGTGGTTGTCATCATTCGCAGCGAATTCCAAAAACCTGTCAAGGTATGCGGTCGTGTCGTCAAACGCCTTTTTGAAGAAGTTGTACTCAGAAATATTTGTCCATCGGAAGCGATAGTTGTTCACAAATCCCTGAGGGCTCTGAAGTTTCCAGCTGTCGTAGAATTGCAGCACTAGCTTACGTGTATCTGAGAGTGATGACTCTTGCTTTCTAAGCTCTGACCTCCAGACATTACGTGACTCGGGTATTTCACCCATTGTTGTTATTGGGAAGGGAAATGGATTGTCGATTCTGTTTGTTCGGAGGTTTCGAATGGGAATCCAGTCGCACCACAATCCCATGATGTCCGTGAACGCGGGAAGTCTATGGGCCGGATCTGGATGCGACAGACTTGCTTCTAACGCTACTATCGCATCGTCGTGTATCAAGAGAGCCCAACATGATTGCCTGAGTTCAAAACCCGGAGGTGATAGTGTATTCCGCAAACGTAGATCCTGAAGTGCGATCCTCCAGCGCTGGGTTTGACCCGCAGGTATGATCCCACACGTCATCTTATGTTCGTCAGCTGAATTTGTAAGCAGGCAACGCTCCGTGACATATTGTAAGTAGTTCAACCTCACATGAGGCACTTCAGCAACAGTTTCTTGGAGATCATTTTGGCGTTCAACAAAGCTGTTCACAGATCGTTGTACTCATGGACGAAACATGACGTACCTTGTCAGCAGCCTCACTAGGAATATGGACTGTATTGGTCCGGCTCCTATAGTCCGCATTTCCACTATACTCAACGACTAGCCCCATACCGCGTATTATCGATGTGGAGAAGCTTCGTCCGAGGCCACTAGCACGCATCTTGCCTTCATCAAGTCGGAAGTCTGACCACGTCATACCCAAACGATATGCCATCGTGATTAGAGAGCCTACTGTCGTGCTAGAGACTGGTCGCACGATATCTGGTGGCATGAAGTCCCAAGAACGAGTTTTCCCTATGAAAGTTATTTGCGAATCAGCATATCTCAGTACACTCTGACCTTCGAAAACCTACTTGTGATACATATGGGCGCTATATCACTCTTCCAATACCATAGGGGAGCATTGTGGTTCTGATAGAGATCAAGATTGTCAAACTGGCAGCCATGGACATCGTTCAGTAAATCTATCCACGTAGGAACGTCGTCTACTGTACTATCTATGCGTGTGTAAGCCTTGTGTTCGGCCGTCGCTGTTTTCGTGAAGTTTACCATGAAGCACGCTTCTATCGCGAGAGAAAGTGCCCCGGCGCGAACCTAAAGTACCCAGGAGTGGTGCTGGCAGGAAAGGATAGGCCAGGTATCGTGATTTTAGTGTAAACAAAGACCAAGGAAACTCTGGAAGGGGCTTCTTCTGATCTAACAGAAAGGACTCGCGCTCTTCAACTTCAGCTATTGGACAAATCTTGAAGTGAGGTGTCGTGACTTTGACTTCATATCGGAATGAGCTCCTACTCAGCTTAGTACACTTGGGACTAATCTTGGTGCAGCCAGTACAAGATTAGTGCACTCACCACCGGTACTTCCGCTCAACCAGTTTGTACCAATCTCCAATGACAGAAGGCTGGCATCTACGGTAACCGTCTGCAGTTGAAAACAGCTGGGCAATAAGTTGACCGGCTGCGATGACCAGGGCTGAGATCGCTATAGCCAACGCGGCTGTCGCCACATCGGTTTCGCTGACCATGTCGCTATGTGTTTGACGAAGAATAACATATAACTCTTCTGAAGTGTCGGTATGAATAACTTTAAACAGTTGTAAGGTCAAAGTTGTCGAGAGTGAGGGGTTGTCAAGTCATCAGGCTGAGACTTTAATGAGCTGGGATGAACTGTCAGCCTGCTCGCTCATGCAAGCCATCGCCTACGCATGGAGTCTGGCTTGTTTTGGCCCCCATCGTTTGTCTTTCATGAAAAGGTTTTAGATTATATGCAGCGTTCTAATTCGATCCGAGACCGTTGTTATGCGGAGGAGCCACGGCCCCTTGAGACCTGTCAGGATAAGCGCCAGCACCCCGCTCCCGTCATCTTGTCCCACCTCAGCCCCGCCATCAGCATACTCCGGCTGCGCGGAAGAGCTGTTGAAGCTATTGAATCGTTCGAAATGTCACTTGCTCATCATGATCAGTCAGCTCTCTGTTTTCGAGATTCTGATAGCTATATAAGCGTCATTTGGCCCAACTAAGCTAATCATGACACCGCGATGATGGTTTAAGGGTAAAATCCAAGCTTCCCACGCTCTATACGTTGTCTGCTTGGGCTCCGGGTTCGAGTCCCGGTCGTCGCAAACCTCATGATTTTTGCTCTCGATGTTTGCCCTTGATGCGTTCGTGAAGTTCGACTGTCTGTCCAACTCAAGCGTCTCAAGGAAGGAGAGCTTCTCTTTTTGCCTGGCCACTGGTAGGACAATTCCCAAACAGCGTCATGAGAAAGAAGCATATCGTCCTGAAAGGAAGTCAGTGGTAAACAACGTAACGAACATGACAATGAATATTGTGCGAAAGAAGTTGGACTCGACCATGCGGCTGATGTGGGGTTCAGCAGCCGCCCGTAGCGCTGCGTCATCGCTCCCGAACACCATCCAGAAGCTCACAGGGCTCCAACAACACCAGAGCAACTCCCCACCTTAGCCACTCGACCACCCAACATGGCCTCCAAAATTGAGAAGACGCTTGCGCGACAACGCGAAAAGTAATCGGTCCCGTTCTTATCGCACGTAGCGCAGACCACTGACCCCACCCAGAATCGCAGAAGGCCAATTCTACGAAGCCCACCAACAACTCCGCGTAATCGCTTCCCGCTACACAAAAGCCTCAGACTGGGCGTCTGCGACCTCCATCCTCCACTCTGGCGCGCTGTCCCTCCTCCAAGCAGGTCAAGGCGGCTCAGGCGGTGACCTCTGCATATTCCTCCTCGATGTGTACAACAAGGGGGAAGTGAAGGTAGATGCGGAGAGCAAAGGACGACTACTAGGCCTACTACGTGCCTTCCCCAAGGATGAGCCTACAAAGAAGAAGTTTGTGGGTGAGATGGTAGCGTGGAGCAGTCGATTTGGCGATTACCCAGCTGGTGACCCAGAAATACACCACGTCGCTGGAGGACTATACGCAGAGGGTATGCACAAACTTAACCCCCATAGCAATATTAGAAGGTACTGATGCAAAAACCACACAGATCTCGAGCCCTACGAAGCAGAACGCCACCTCCTCCTCGGCACCCAAGACAGCGCCTCAACCCTCTCTTCCCTCCACTACTCGTGGTACACATCCGACGCCCCGCACACCGCGCCCCTCTACGCCGCCCGCGGCATCCTACCGTACCTCCTAACCGGCAACCTACGCGCTGCGAACAAGCACTACCTCCTCTTCACCTCCTCGCTGCAAAAAGCGCCGAACCCGCCTACCCAGCCCGTCAGCACAAAGTCCTCCGACTTCCGCGTATACCCCTCATTACCGTTGTTGAACTTCCTCGGATTGTTGCTGTTGAGTGTGGAGAGGGGCGATCCGAGTTTGTGGAGGCAGCTCAAGAGCCATTATGCGGGGGATCTCAAGGAGGTGAACTGGAACGAGGCGTTGGATCAGATTGGCGAAATGTACTTTGGAATTAAGATCCCGAGGCAGGGGAACCCCATGTTTGACATGTTGGGGAGCATGTTCGGGGGAGGTATGGGAGGAGGTGCGGCGGCGCCGAAGAAGGCTGTTGGTGGTAGGCCGCCGGCTGCTGGTCTGGATTAAGGAACGAACTACAAAGAGGTGGCGTAGAGACGAATGCAATATCACAATAGGAAAAGATACCACTTTCAGAAGAGAATCTAGTCATGGAAGCGATTGATGTTTTCATTCAGTCATCTCAAAGCTCATTAGCTTTTGTCTATACCATATCATGATCACCGTTTATCTGCCTTCCATTGTGCATCACAGGCGACTTCCTTACAAAGGAACAGTCTTCTCCTTGAACACAACACCATACTGCTCCTCAAGTGTCTTCATCAATGGGGCGCAGATCTCTGGGCTCATAGGAGCCAGGATGCCCTTCTCGCTCAGGGTACCGTCAAGCACCTGCTGGACGGCAACAGCGCAGGGTACACCGACAAGCTTAGCCATGGCGGAGTAACCCTTGGGGTCACCGTAGTCGGCCAGTGTGCAGGTACGGACAGACTTGCTGCCATCCTTGTTCTCAATCTCGAACCTGTGCTGGAGCATGACCATGTCACGCTCGTCGTTCTCGTACTGCATCTTCTTCTCGAGAGTAGCGCAGAGGGTGTCGAGAGGGTTACCACGGGCCTCAATCTGCTCGTCGGAGATGAGACCAATCCAGCGGAGACCAGTGATGATGCGGTCCTTCTCTTCTGTGCTAGCGAACTTGGTCTTGGAGGAGATGGCCCAGATAAGGTCCTCGTCCTTGTCGCCGGATGCGCCAATGATCTTGGCGGTGGCATCGCGCCATGTGCGCTTCTCGCCCTCCTTGAGGAAGTCCTTGGGGTCCTCGGACAGGAAACCAATGTCGACGAGGCACTTGATGTACTCTGGGAAACCTTGGTATCTCAGTGTGCCGCGGATGATGGTCTGGCACTCGGGAATGTTGTAGCGCTCCTTGTAAGGGGTAGAGTCACGGTTGGGGTACGCGACGAATGCGTAGCCGGGGTAGATGAAGTATGGCTTCGCCTCAGCCATGAGCTCGGGGCCCTCAACAGACTTGACCTTGCCGTCTTGGTAGAAAGCAGCCTGGTTGCGGAGTGCGAGAAGCACACCGCGCGAGCTCCAGGAGAACTTGTAACCGAGCGGGTTGTCTGAGCACTCTGGTGCGGGGAGACCACCGCAGTATGACTTGAAGGACAGGATCTTGCCACCGGCCTTGTGAACCTCGTCGATGGTGAGGACAGCAGAGAGATGGTCGACACCAGGGTCTACACCAATCTCGTTCATGACGGTGATACCAGCCTCCTTGGCTTGTGCGTCGAGCTCCATCATCGCTGGGGAGACGTAGGAGGTTGTGACAACGTTCTTCTTCTTGCGGATCGCCGATTTGATGACGGTGGCGTGGAATGTGTAGGGGATGAGGGAGATTACGACGTCGACCTTGGCGACTTCAGCGTCGAGAGCGTCGGCATCGTTGACATCGAGCTAGGATTCGTTAGCATTGAGCAATGCAGATGCGAGCGATGTGGTCGTACGCTGATGGCGTTGGTGTTGGGGATGCCCTTGGCCAGGTCTTGGGCCTTCTGGAGAGTACGGCATGCTACTGTGACCTTGACACCGGACTTTGCGAGGACGTCAACAGTGGGCCGTGTACTATGGTCGTCAGTTCTATGGATACTGAAGTTGATTGATGAACGACTTACACGAAACCAGCACCAAGCAACAGAGCGGTCCTGTCCCCCAATTAGCCAAACTCTACCAGAATAAATATTCAGCGAGCACCTACTTTCCGCTGTATGCTCCAGCAGCAGCCCCGCTGACGTTGCCCATAAGGTTCTGAACTTTGTCTATGCCATCAATTAGTCGAAGTTCGTCTTAATCATGCTCTTGACTTACTTGTGATGGCCTCCATATTGTGTGATTTGAGAGTAATTGCCAAGATGCGAAAAAGTTTGGGGAAGATTATATCTTTGGCGTCGACTCCGGATCGGAGTAAAGAGAAATCGGCGGGGTTACTCCGTCATCGCTCCAGAAAGTGGGGCGCGCGCGGCGCGTCGCGCAGATCATTGGTTTCTGCAAAGCCATGAACGTTCCGAACTTAACCAAATTCTAGATGTTTCGCGCGTTGAAATATGTGAAAGACCATTTCTTTCTGCTGTGATTGCCATATATTATATCGGCGGTTGTCTATGCACTTCAGTAGAATATCCTGCTGTGTACACTCAACGATCAATACGTCCGACCTCAAACCTCGCTGCTTCCGTTCGTTACGTAGAGATTCAAGCCAAATTCACCCATGTCACAGCAGATACACACAATCATGGTTTTCCGATTCATTGTAGTTGTTTGATCATGGCGATTCAATTTCAAACATTTGAACCTCACAAGGAAAGTGGGTCTCATGAGCCGTGCCAAGTCAGCTAAGTCGCTTCCGCATTAGCGTTATTTCTACCGACTTGCCAGGTACGCGTTTCATATGCGACGACGACTCGCAACATCAACCACAACATCAGAACAGAACTAGACATAGCTACGATCATTGTGACCTGATCATCGTTCGATACTTGACGTGTTTTGCGACCGGACACGACGTTCCATACCAGGCAACCGCCATCATGCCTTCAGCCGTGGACCCTGATGATGACTTGTGGATGGCCATCAAACAAGTAGATGACCCCAATATACATGTGTATGTGCTATAAGTTCTGACGGAAATAGATCTCCCAATCATCCGTGGGATCAGATTACATCGACCAGCTGATCCCCATCATGAAGGACCCACGCTACTCAAACCAGCTGCAAACCACATTTGACCGCTATGCCAACGATCGCGAAAGCGAGATTGAGCGGATATGCAATGCGAATCACCAAGATTTCGTCAGTTCAGTCGACTCACTACTTAGAATACGAGACCAGACTGTGCAGATGAGTGGCGAGATCCTGCAGCTCAACGAGTCGATCCAAGAGAGCATTGAGAAGCTGGCGGAGCAGAAGAAGGCTCTCGTTGACTCGCGAGGTGTGCGTCAAAACATCGATGAAGCATCTCAAGCCC